CCCCAAAACCCCAAAACCCCAAAACCCCTGCTTTAAATATGAAAATTGAACATTAGCCTTGCTTTCAGTTGGAATAATTTTAAATATGAAGCCCCTGTTCTTGGAATGTTCCAACATGGATTGGTAGTGTGAGTTAGATGATAATCCTGTCCTTCCTAGGCTGTGCGTGGGATAGTCTACATCAATATGGAAGGAGACTTACTCTCATTTCTTGAAACAGAACTTATTGTCTCTTAGAGTCAGCGGTTTGGACCTATCTGTTCTCACCTTCTGGATTCTCTGAAAAGTGTCTACACTCGATGTATTATGCTTTTTCTTCCTCTTCCAGTGCATATCAGTCGCTAAAAATAAAGCAAGAGAGTACACATCATTTTCTTCAAGTCCTTATTTATGCTTCCTCTCGAAAGTATAGTAAGGCTTGGTTCTCTGACTCTTGGTGTTAATCTTGTTCTCTCCGGTCATAGAATTGATAACTTTTCCAAGACTATCCCTCCATCTATTATTGGCGTGATTTGTCTTCTTCTGGTTATCAAAGATAGACCTTCTAAGAGACTGAAAGTTCCTTAAGGTTTTACGCATTGTATCTGACTCTTTTCTTCTTGAAGAAGGAAGACCAATTCCTGGTTGACCGTTCCAGCCTTGTATCTGAGAATTTCAGTTAATGTATTCCTTAAGCTTCTGAACTTGCTCTTTTGATGGGCTCTGGGGATTTTTGTTCTTGGCCAAAATACTATCACTTTGAGGCAATTCAGTTTTTATATATGACACACTATGCCTAGGCAGCGAAATGAAATAATGTGAAGGCCTTATGTTAGTCAATACTTCAGTCATTGAAGCATAATGAGACTTCATAGATCCAGCTGCTTTTGATCTTGATTGCCTGTAAATATTTAAAGTTATGATAAAATAATACATAATTTTACAAAACTTACTTTCTCCTTCGAACACTGGAATACGAAGTGGAGTACATCTGGTTATCAATATTTGAATTTGCCATTGAATGATTATATCCCCTCTGTCGGGTTAAATAGTTCTGGCTTGTGTAATAAGTTGTTCCATAAATATCAGAATTTTCCTAAAAATCCCCACTAATCCTTACCAATCCACTTTTGGCCATATTGCCAAGATGGGTGGCATCAAAATGCTTCCCTTTCAGCTTAAGATTAGGGACGTTCTTGAACTCCATATGGTAGTTTCTTTTAATTTTATTCAAGTTTAAAAAAATTCCAGGGGTTTTGGGGTTTTGGGGTTTTGGGGTTTTGGGG